GGCCGGTCCGGGCTTGGGCGAGTGCATGAAACCAACAAGGGGTCACACGAGCCCTGTTGATCAAATCCCTGCATGAAACCAACAAGGGGTCACATGAGGTTTGTTGATCAAATCCCACTTTTTGGAGAGTCAGGTGGATGGCCTTGGGGTTCGTTCTAGCCAAACCAACAATCGATATGACTCAACTGTACCTACCCCTAAGGGTGCTTAGGGGTAAGTACATTTGCTGAAGCGCATGGGCAGTTTGAGGTTCCCAACAAAACTGAATCAAAGGGATCAACCTATCGAATGTTGTCGAATTCCTGCGTACTTCATATAAACAACAAGCGACATCGAAGGAATTCCAAAGACGGACACGTTTGCAGCGCCAACCTATAGAAACAGAACTGGGGTTTGGTAACAAGCCAAAAACTTGTTCTTCCAAACACCCCCCAAGAATTACATGCCTTTGACATACTTTGACACACCCTTCCAGGGACCCTTCCGAGAAAGTACGGGGCACCTCAAAACAAAGCGGCGCTACGATTTTTCCTCTTCCAGAGCGTGTTTGTTCACGCCATCACGTTGTGGCAGCTTAAGACAGAACCTCCACACCACCCGACTCTGCCGAGCGCCATTCGCGCAATGGAACCCCATAGTTGTAAGACAACGCTGTGCGTTTTTGGGCCTGCAAGCGTATGAAGAGAAGAGACCCCCCTATCCGAACATGTTCAAACACATTGAGATGCACGCAAAGTGTTGTCATCGGCTCAACATACTTGCAGGCTTAAACAACAACGACCCGGGTGAAAGGTTGCCAAGGGGACAACCAGTTTCAGTCAACATCCACTGGCTCTTTGGCAGGCGGTGTCTCTGACACCTTTGGACCAGTCCTGGCTCTCTTCTTGGAGGCAGGCCTGGGGCCAGCTTTGCTGGCAGGGGAAGGCCTGTTGTCGGGCTCATTTTGGCTGATCTTGTTGGGCTTGAAGCCCTCCTTGCGGCACGTCTCACAGCCTCTCCGCGCCATCCGGCACTTGCCACATCCAAGCTTGCGACCCAGCTTCTCCTCAAGAGTCTTCACCTCCGCCATGCTGATCATCTTCTTCTTTGTCCGGCACGGCTTGTCCTCCTCCCGGGTGTTGCCAGCGCGCCCAGCACGTTCACTGTCTTTCCCACCAGCCCGTCCTTTGCCTTCGTTTCCACGCCCGCGGCCTTTGCCACTAGCACGTCCACGGCCTTTAGCACGTCCACGCCCTTTGCCGCCAGCGCACCCACGAGCTTTGCCAGCAGCACGTCCGCGACCAGCCTGGCCGCGAGCATGTTCGCCTTCCTCGCATTCCTTGCCTTCCTCCTCTTCCTTGCCTTCCTCCTCTTCCTCACCTTCCTCCTCGCCTCTTTGGGCGCACTTTCCGTGGGCACCACGTCCACCACCACGTCCGGCGCCACTCCCGCGCCCATTTTGGGCCTTGCGGCCCCGCGTGAGCCCGGCCAAAAGCTGCGTCCGCAACTTGCCCTGCTCTGCTGGAGTGACTGTAAGCGGCACCTGGCCAAGGGATTAGACGTGTGTTTAAGTAGGTCCGCTTTGCAGAGGACATAACTTAGAAACACACGTCGCCTTCGGCGGGTTGGGCGGGGTGTCGGTAATCTCGATCGAGTTGCGGGGCAAAGGCGTTGCAAGCTGCAGGGAAATAATGGGCTGCGTCTCAGCCTGAAGGGGCAAACCAAACATGACGAAGCCAACTTTTCAGACTACACGAGGGTTAAGAACTGTAGCACAAAAGCATAGATGCAAGATTGGAATCAAGATTGGAATATATGCGCCTGCCTCATCCACGTTTACAGCTGGCGTGGGATGTTTCACATCGATGTCAGTGGTGGAGCCAGTAAGGTCAATGAGGCCCAGGTCAACGGAGCCTTGATTTGCAACAACCCGATGTTAGAACCAAACAATGAGCATCCCTTAGCCCAACACATGGTGAGCCGAGTGGCTGGTCGACTTGCCACTCCCAATGACAGACCCCTTCGGCAAGATAGCTGATAGCCTTTGTTGACTTTAAAAGGAATGATATGAATAGTGTTTTTAAACATTGGGCAATGGGAATAATGTGCGATTGATCGAGAAAAAGCTGCCAAATTAGGGCAGGATTCTTTTCTGTCAACTCTTTGGACTCTTGCAGGAGCAGTTGAAGCTGTGCGGCACGAGGATCCCTGCCCGATGAAGTTGCCCCAGGTGAAATCTTGAACACGGTCTCGAGCTTCTTGGGCTCCTTGGGGTTCTCAGGTGTCTTAGGCTTGTAGCTCTCAAACTTGTTGAGCTCCACGACATGCTGAAACTTCTTGCACTCCTTGGGCTCCTGCAAACTGTCAGGCTTCTTGGGCTCATCAGGCTTCTTGGGCTCATCAGGCTTCTGGGTCTTAGAAGGCTTCTTGGGCTCATCAGGCTTCTTGGGTGCATCAGGCTTCTTGGGCTCATCAGGCTTCTTGGGCTCATCAGGCTGCTTAGGCTCCTTCTGAAGCATCTTGGGCTCATCCCCATTTGTGAGGGCGGGTCCAGCCTCAGTGCTGTCTCCATCGTTTGTCGCTTCCTCCTCCTCTTCACCCTCCTCCTCATTGGAGCTAGCGCTCTCCCCTTTTTTTGATTCAATGAAGTCGAAGAGCATTTTGACCCCCTCAGCCTGAGCATTGTTGTACTAGCCTGAGTTTACAATACAAAAAACTGAAAGAGAATTCCAAACGCCGTCTTGTACAGCCAAACTACTCGCGGCTGCTGCCCTCGCCGGAGAGAGTCCGCTTGTCTGGCCTTTCCAAACGCCAACATGCGACGAATGTTCCACGCGTCCAAGTAGGCTTGTTGCTGTTCTTCTGGGACATGGGGGATGAGGGCGTACAACTGCTCAACCTCACAGGGCTTGAACTGTGATTATGCTTGGCACCATCCAAAAGGGATTGAAGGGAAAGGCCAACTGATGCAGTTGTTTGGCTGAACAAAGTCAGGGGTTGAACCGGTTTTTGAGCAACAATCTTTTTAGAGCACACGCATTCGCGCCTGTTGCTGCAAGGGCTTGACACGTGCTCTACGGAGCCCCCAAACTTCTACCACTGCCATCAGGATTTCGTGGTTGTTGCTAAGGGACCCAGTGGATGTGACCAGGATGTCCCCTCCTGTGCCTTTGGGAAACTTCAGCCAATGAGACCCCCGCCGGAACCGCGACCTCACACGCGGTAGCAGCTCCCATTTCTTGGCAATGAGCCCTGCTTTCCCCATGAGGGCCCCTTGATCCAAATCACAAAACGGCTACGCAGAATCCAGTCCACATTCCAACCCGTGTCCCAACACCGAGCGCTTGCCCAGCCAAGCCAGGCCCAGCCTCGCTCTTCATCGTCATGACGGCGGAGCGCGTCATTCCCTGCAGGCAAGAGGGGTCACCAGGCATGGTTAAATGAAGTGGGCCCTAGATGGGGTTCTTGCACCCCTTCTCTATTTCCAACGCAAGGCCTCGCTAGCCTTCAACACATGCTAAGCACAGCGGTTAAGTATAAGCAAATGTGGGGCTTCCAGATTTTTTGTGAAAAACGATGGGGTCGCCGATGCCAGTTAAACACAACGAAGCGACCCTGCGCTTTTGGTCCGTGAATTCCACCATACATCCGGCCCACACGTTTCATGGCAAAGCAAAGGAAACTACGCGGGCCTCAATGGCCCGCTCCAGCTCAAAGCCGCGCATGAGTCCTGGCTGCCAGGTATATGAACTTCAGATGTGAAGCGCTCGGCGCGCGAAGAGACGGTTTGAAGAGTTTGGTTGCCACAAAGGGAAACCGGACAAGGTTTGAGCCAACTGCAAAACACACCCAGGGAGAACGATTGGAACAAGTGTTGCTTGGAACGACATCTTGCGTGTTTCCAGAGGGTGCCAGCCAGGCTTCTCCAAGCTACCTATGTTGCCAAATATATTTGTTCGTGGTGCTCGGTCGAAATGCAACGGTCAGATATTCACTGGAAGTGTTGGACAAAAAGTCCAGGCAAGCTTGGAAGCACTCTCCGTCAAATGACCTATAGGAATTTGTCTCACGCTCAGAAATCGGAGCTGTCCTCCGTGGCTCGCTCGATGCACAGCCACTCACCATTGGCAGGAAGCGCTGTGGTAATGCCGAGCTTGATTGGGAAGTGTGTGTGTGTGTGTGTTTGTGTGTGTTTTTTGTTTGTGTTGCCATGAAGGCCAACGTTGACGGGGTTTGGTGGATGCGAGTTAGTGCTTTCTGCTGAGGAGTGCGTGCTCATGACATCAGCATCCTGGGAACACTCAGTACAAAGAGCTTATCGAGCGGCGCCAGCTTGCTAAGAGTGGTTTGGCAAGCCTTGGCAGCAAACTAACCCTGTCCAAACATGAAAGTGGTGTGTTTTGAATCGAAGTCGTATGTTTCAAATAAAGTTGTAACCCCATTTGCAACTTTTAGAAAAACGCACAAACTTTAAAAGTTGCCGAAAAAAACACACCACTTCGGATCTCCAGGTGGCTGCTTTTGCTGGAGCGTGCTTTCTGGTACGATTTCCATGATCCTTGCATGTCTTTAGTGTGTGCTGCCACATCTTAAAGGGAGTTGGCTGTGGGTCAAAAATAGGTACCAAAAATGGAACCTTAGTAAATGGAAACATGGACTAAAACCTGTGGTCTCCTGGTGGTTTAATTTTGACCCACAGCCTGTTCACCGTTTCGCGCAACCCTCGGTTGGTTGCCGCCGGCTGGTGAATTTCCCAGAGATCCGGCTCAGCTGGGCTCAAGTCACCTACTAATCAAAACCACCACTGACAGTTGGGAAGCTTGGCATTCTGATTGGTTGTGATTGGTTGTGATTGGTTGTGTATGCCCTGGAAAGGGTGAAAGGGCTTTTAAAACTTAAAGGCCTTTACATGAGCCTTTCTTTTTAAGGCCCCCGAAGCCCAGAGTATGTATGTGTTGTTTTTTCCCCGTTTTTTCCCCCTTTGGCCGCTCAGCCGCTCTCTTGCCGTCGGGACGCGGCAGGTGCCGCAAGCGAAGCTCTTAGAGCTGGACGGAGGCCGCGGAAATTCGTTTCTCGACTCCCGGAGCTTTCGGCGCCGATTCGGCCCAACAACGTTTCGGCCGGTTGGACGGTGCCAAGGGGAGTTTGGACGGGAAAAGGCAGGCAAGCTGGGGAGCTGGGGCTGGCTGGTTTGGGCTTCATTTGATTTCGTTGTTTTTTCGTTGGTGTTTTTTGGTGCCAGCCATTTTGGGGGCTGGTTTGGGCAGAAGGGACGCTCATCATTTTGGGTTTCCCTATTTTGACACATACACAGTTGGGCACAAACTTGTGCGAGCCAATTCAGGGGGTCCTCGTGGAAAGGTCGTTGTTGGATGTATCCTGTTTGTCCTTCGCTTCTGAACGGTGCCTGGAGTCCCGGATCCAACAAATTTCAAAGTGGTGTTTCTTGGGTGCGACTCATACTCGAGCTTTCGAGCCGAAACACATGTCATTGGACAGCCTCACATTGTGATTTTCAGACGTACAAGGCAGTATTTCATGATTTGAGCCGCAAGCAAAGCCTGGGCAAAGGAAGGTTAGTGAATGACAATCCCAATGATCAATGGGTGTGCCCCCCCTTCTCATATAGTATTTTTTTGTTTTCGGGGTAGACCACGTTGATGTTAGACCAAGCCAGAAGACAATTTTTCAGGTGCGTTTGAGAGACCTGCGAAAAGACTTGAAGGGATCCCTGGGCCGCATGCCCATGTTGGCTCTGTCTTGTTTTGAGGCTACCCGTTTTTGGATGGTTTCAGGGGAAGCCACAAATGAACCAATGACTTTTCGGGTCCCGCTATTTTGCCCAAAAACCCATGATGAGTTCCCACGCTTTTTCAGTTTACTTCAAGCATGACGTGGGAGAGTTGATTAATCAGGAGGGGTCCCCTAAGGCATACCCAGCAAAAGGGAGCCCACCTCAATAATAGGTAGCAGGTTCATGAGATCTAAGAACCCAGCTAATTAACCAGGACAACAACTGCAGGAAATCCTTGTTCCTGGTCGGTGTTTGGCAAATTTCCAATAGAAGCTCCCAAATCGCTGGTTTTCATGAGACTCCCTGCATTGTAACGAAAGGACCGCAAAAAAGCGTCCGTTCTCAACAGGAGACTCCTGTAAAAATGCATTTGTACAGGAGACTCCAAGACAAACACAATGTGTTTCTTGGGTTGCCATGGTACACCAGGGTGAAAGTGGATGGCAAGATTCCCTCTCAGTACCGTGATGACGAGTATTTAACACAAAGATGAGTTGGAATCCATCTACTTTCACCCAAGTCATGTGGGCCAAACAGAAAACAGGGGACCACTCACTCCCTGAGTTCCCAGACTTACTCTTTGGGAATACCGAATGTTAGTGGTACACCAAAAACGTTTTTTTTTCGCCAACCCACTCGATCGAAAGTGCAATCTGCCTCGCCGGACCTTTTCATCGAATTTCGCCAGGACTCCGACTTCGAGGAAAGAAGGCGCCGCGTTCGCGTTCGCTTTTGCGCTTGCTCAAGAGCGACTAGGTCCCCAGTAGTGCCCTTTTACCTCTTTTTGAGGGAGGGTTCCCCTACTAAAATACACTACAGAAAAAAGCTGGTACCCTTATTCCAACCTCTCCACTGGAGGACCTAGGAGACGTGTTTGTTCGCCATGTGGCGGGTCAAACATGGGTGCTCAAAATGGAGCCCCCCAACGGAATCCTGGTACATGGAAATGGCATAAATCCTGCGGTCCGCATCCTGGTTTAATTTGGACCCATACCCATGTCGTGAAGCAGGCGGCTAGCCCGAAACCCAGGGCGGCAATGGTGGTCCGTGTGGTTTCTCGTGAATGCAAGCTGAGAAGACCTAGGCAAAGGCTTCACCTCAGGCTTACAACAATTGTGGGCCACAACCTGCCCAAGTAGGCGCCGGCGGGTTGCCTTTTAGCGGGCGGAGTGCAAGCTGTTAGCAAGTAGACGCACAATTAGCGAGTGCATTTGGCTGGTTTTTTGCTCCTTTGTCTCTTAGAAAAAAGCTCGCTGGGGTTTGACTCAGCCAACTTTTTTCTAAACTTTAGGGAAGCTGGCTCCCAATTTCTAGGGCTTCATTCCCGATGCTTTCTGCTTCTTTGAGAAGAACAAAATAGTTTCCCAGGGCTTTGGATGGCTTTCTGGAAAGACGGGTTACCCTTAGACAGTCTTCCAAGCCAACGACAAGCACCCGAACGACTCATTGGCTTCCGCCAGGTCAGCGGCGATCCCACTTTCGCGACGCCGCATGGCGTGTGAATACGTGGGGCGGGGTGTCAGATTTGTCGAGGTTTGTCAAAACATCTAGAGGATCCTTCCTGACTCTCGTTTTGAGTCTTTTGCTTCGAAAAGGATCAGCCAGAGGCCTGTATTTTTAAAATGTAGTGTCCTGGAAAATCAAGGAGTCCAGAACTTGCGGATTCTCAGCAGGCAATGAGTTGGAACGACCCCAAGCAAAGCCATCCAACCTTTGGGATAGGGAATCCCCAAACCCGCTTTCTTCCCAACGCCATCCATTTGGGACATGGACTCACCACCAAAACATCCCCCAACTTCTAGGGACTCGGCAGCGGGGCTTGGACAACAAAAAAATCGACTTGTTGAGGTCCCGAGATTCTTAGGGCGACTGTCCTCCAAGTCAACGGGTCGTCTCTCGCGGTTTTTTGTACTCTGGAACCCTTGCACCGGTCCTTTTGGTAAGTGAGCGCCAAAAAGGGTGAGCGTATTCTGGAAACCTCGCTGATGAGGCAGCCATCCTGCGAGGGAACAGCAAGCAAGGTGAGTGGCAATAAAAACGCCTAGCTCATCATGGGGTCTCAGATAGGTAGCAAGGTCTCTTGAGACTCATTTCAGGGCCTTGAGTCCACCTCAGAGATGATGCACGGATTGCACGTGGGGATTGATCAAAAGGTCCTTTCACATGGGGCGACCAATCGCCACTAAATGGGAGCAGAGTTCCCATGGTCATTTTGGGGCCAATATTGATCAACCCCCAATGTGGCTGCGTGCGCGATGGTTCAAAAAACATTGTGCAAACCTTCCAGTTGCTCAATGCTTTACTTCCCCCTGTCGGTTTTGAAGGGAATCTATCACTACCGGAGTTTTTTGTTTGTTTATTCTTCCGCGGAGCTTAAACAAATGGAGGAAGCCATGTGTTTCGCACTGGCCAGCCTTCGCAAGTGAGGCACCAGCCCAAAGGCTTGGGCGTGAACCAGAGATCAACATCCGGTTCCTTTGGTTTTTAGATGTTTTTAGGATCCTGTTGAGTGGGAGTTTCCGCTACTGACACTTTGGTGCATTTTGCTAAGGGATGTTAGGACTTTAACTTGCCAACTAATGGGTTTTCCACTAAACCACTAAAAGTTAAACTTTTAGCAGGGGAGCAGAAAGCAACCGAGGACAGTTAGACTTTTAGCAGGGGATCTGGAACAGCTCATGGGACTCTATCGTTCATCTCGTCCCTTCTGCGCTTCATCCACATGCACACTGTCCGCTGGAAGCCGGGGAGCATTTGAGACGACAGGAGTATCACCCAAGCCCCACACGGCAAATCACAGGCGCTCAATCTCATCATTTGCATGTGCGACTTCAGGGCAGCCTAAACGCGTTCTAGTAAACACGTGCCAGCTTGCAGGACAATAATCTAGGTCCCCCAGTAGTGCCCTTTTACCCTTTTTGGGGGAGGGTTCCCCTACCAAAATAGACTACAGAAAAAAGTTGGTACCCTTATTCTAACCTCTCTACTGGAGGACCTAGTAATGAATTCCTGGAAGCACGTAAGGGGCCCAGTGCCAGTGCACTCAGGTTGGATTCGGACATCTACCCGGTGGCGCCGCAAGACGAAATCGCCTCAGGCGAAAGCCGCTGAGAGAAGGGTCATCGATTTCAGTCCAGTGATCTAAACTTTGGTGCATTTTGCCAAGGGATGTTAGGACTTATTTTTTGTTTACCAACCAATGGGTTTTCCATTAAACCACTAAAAGTTAAACCTTTAGCAGGGGGAAAGCAACCAAGTAAATCAAAGGACTTGTCCTCGTATTTAGGTGAACTGTACGCACCAGCGTAGCCGCGGCTTTCACAAAAGCTTGCGGCTTTTGCAAAGCTGCCCCCTAAAGTGCCCATCTATTTGAAAGGTGCAGTTCAAGATGAAATGCCCTTTTTCAAGGACCAGCGGGCTCAAGCGGGTTGCTGCAGCGGCAGATTTCTCAACTTATGCCCTTGCCTCTCAGCAGATCTGAGCATAGGCTTCCTTTCGGGTCAGTTTGAACATAGATGGCACTGGTTTCAGATGCCTAGAAGTTCGTTTGGGCTGAAATGCATCTCCGCTCAGAATCCCGCAGGACTCTGTATCTATTTGGGTCTGAAGTGTAATTGAGGACATATATCTGGTATATATATATATATGGAAAAAATATGGCCTTTGCCAACTAACACCTTACATACAAAATTGTGACGCGCAATACCCAGGTCTTTCATTTGGTCACTTGTTGGGGCTCTGGGCATTTTGCTTCGAACCGGAAGAAAAAAAAGACAAATCAACAAGTGCCCAGGGAAGACCTAGGTGCAACATTTCGCACTATGGTTGTACATCCTCCGATGGTTGGAACTGCAAAGGGCGCCTGGCCAGGTCGTCGACTCTCGGGCAAAGCCTTTGCATCCAGAAGGATTCTGCGCTGAAGTTCAATATAAAGCATTTCAGGCAATGCCGTGCGTGATAAAGCCAGCTCACTTGCGGGTAACAGGAAGCTTACCTATTCCGAAAGTTGCTTCCTTCGAGATGTGTTCTGTCCACTTTGTCATTGTGCAGAGGCGGGATTGGGCGCGACGCCGTGCATACCGTGCCAGCTGCGCCGTTTCAGCCCAGCCACTCTCCTTCTTTTCTGATCGGTGTGTTCTGTTGCCTTTTGGAAACCCATTACTCGCCAAGGAGAGTACAGGACTCGGTTGGCTTACACGTCCCTTTTGAAAGGCCTTGGCTTGGATGCAGCTGTTGGCCAAATCAATATGTGTCGCAACTAGGTACCGCCCAAATAGGCGGGTTCCCGCTTAGCGCATGTCCGCGTGCGCGGGCGCGTGCGAGCATGCGTTCGTGTGTGCATGCGAGCGTATGCGTTCATGTGTGCGCGTGCGCACGTTTGAGTTGTTCGCTTGCGCGCCTGTTTGCTTCCATGCACATCTTGGTTTGTCTCTGTGTGTGTATGTGTCAAAACCATTGGATTCAGGAGCACCTCTTTGGTTCTAGAAAGCCATGCGCAGACGAACACGCTCTGCACTCCTCGATCCTGATTTGTGGTGTGCTTCTCAAAAAGGGGGTCCTCTAAAATAGCTGGCTTTCCTTTTGGCGTTGCTTGGATGTCAGGACTTCAACTTTTTGCCAACTAGTGGGTTTTCCATTAAACCACTAAAAGTTAAACTTTTAGCAAAAAGCAGAAAGCAACCGAGAAACGGGGGTCCGCCATTTTGAGAAACACAACACACACAGACACAAAAGCACACAAAACACACTGACTCACTCACTCACTCACTCACTCACTGACTGACTGACTGACTCACTCACTCACTCACTCACTCACTCACTCACTCACTCACTCACTCACTCACTCACTCACTCACTCACTCACTCACTCACTCACTCACTCACTCACTCACTCACTCACTCACTCACTGCGTCTATCTTTCAGCCTTGGAAGGTGTCGCGGCGGCTGCAGCATGGACACCTCCAGGCCGCGGATGGAGAGAGGTTTGCCGGTTGTCCTAGGAACGGAAACCCCGAAAGGCCAAAAGTGTAGCGACCCTTGGTGCCTTGGTGCCGGTTGTTCCTGCAGCTTTTTAAACAAGTAAAAGTTGGACCCCCCCCCCTTGAACGAACAAAAAAGACATATACCCTTGTTGCGCGTGCTGAAACGTCAACTGCGGCAGTGTTAAGGCTCTCGGACAAGCCAGATTTTGCTCATTACACGAACGTGCATTGCAAACCCTGGGAGATACTTCCGCAAAGAACACTGTGAAAGCTATGTGGGCGTGGCGTGGCCTTGTTGAGGGTGCCCTTTGTTGGTGGTTATAAAGGGAAACCGAAACAACCACCACCCTTTTTGGGGGTCCCTGAAAGATGACACATGCAGTCTGGTTTTTAATTAGAGGCTGCCTTGCTGGCGACTTCGGCTGCCATGCTTCCTTGCACAACTCTGAAATACAACATTTATACACACATGAACATACCAGCAATTGGTAGAGCGTTGGAGTCCGTAGCTAAATGACACCATATAATGCCTACACATGGGTGTGTCTTGTTTTAGGGCACCCCCCCAAAATGGCTTCGGTTGTCCTTTTGGTTTCCCTTTAGAACCACTCAAAAAGGGACACCAACTCCAAAAAAAGAGAGCCCCTAGCATTACATTGACGTGTGCATCCGCCTTCTCATCAACAAAACCTGCTCCATGGACATCGCTTGCTTGCCTTTCTGCCAGGTAGCTCGCTCCCTCGCTACCAGCGGAAGGCACTGGGAACGGATCTTTTTTGGTATGTAGTCCTTGGTATCACGGTATCACGCCCACGTAGACCCTGGGTCCTGTGAAAACGCGCTAGACATGTTGCTGCAAGTTCCTTCCCGCTTCCAAGTTTGATTCTTTTGTCTCAGCTGCGGGGGCTTTGCTGTGTCAAGGCATATCGTTCCGTACTCAACTGTTGGATTAAGATGGCATTGGATATCGGGAATGGGTGGGCGTCTCTGTTACAGTGGGGTGAACATAGATGACACAATTCTGCAATCGCTTTGGTTGAGTCACCACCTCTCACAACTGGAAACTCTGCCATCTACGTTCATCCCAGTGCAATCAGGTCCGCCCAAGACAAAGGGGGCATGAAAGGAATGCAGACCCCCTGCATTGGATGAGATGGTCCTCTTTGTGTTGTGTGCTTTGCGTTTTAAAGTATGGTTCTCCTGATTCTTTGCTTTGCTTTGCTTTGCTTTGCTTTGCTTTGTTTTTGCTTGGTTTGTGTTCATGTTGCTTTGTTGTTTGATTGTTTCTTTGTTTGTTTGCTCGTTCCCTGTTTGTGTGTGTGTGTGTTTATTTGCTTGCTTGCTTGCTTGTTTGCTTGCAGTGTTTGCGTGTATGTTTTGTTATTTATGAATTGTTTGATTGTTTTGTGTTCTTCCTTTTTGTTTTGTTGTTGTTTTTTGGTGTTGTTGTTGTTGTTGTTGTTGTTGTTGTTGTTGTTGTTGTTGTTGTTGTTGTTGTTGTTGTTGTTGTTGTTGTTGTTGTTTTTTTGTGTTGCTTGTTCGTTTGTTTCGTTGGTTGGTGTTCTGTGTGTGCGTTGTTATGTTTAGTTGCTTGTGTGTTTCATTTGTGTTGGTGATTTGTGTGCTTGCTTACTTGTTTGTTTGTATATTTTGTTGTTTGCTTGCTTGCTTGCTTGCTTGTTTCTTTGCTGTTGCTTTTTGTTGTTGTATAACGGTCTTTTTTTTGTTGTTTTCTTGTTGTTTCGTTGTTTCTTTGTTTTTGTTGGTTTGGTTGCTTGTTTGTTTATGTTTGTCTTTATTTCTTTTTATGATATTTATTTCCTGTTTTCTTTATTTCTGTGTTTATTGATGTTTTTTTGTGTCTGTTTCCTTGTTTATTTTGTGTTTGTTTCTTTGTCTTTTGTGTTTCTGTATTTCTGTGTGTCTGTCAATATATTTGTTCTTTCTGTCTTCCTTCCTTCCTTTCTGTCTGTGGCTTGCGTCCGTGCGTGCATGCCTGCCTGCCTGCCTGCTTGCTTGCTTGCTTGCTTGCTTGCTTGCTTGCTTGCTTGCTTGCTTGCTTGCTTGCTTGCTTATTAGCATTTGTGCCTGTGTGTGTGTGTGTCAATCTGTGCGGGCGTGAAAGTGTATTCTTGTGAGAGGTTGTAATTTAGCCAGTTCATCCAAGACTACTTGTTTGTGGAAGACTCTGTGGGATTGCCAGTGCATGAAGCACACGTGATTGAGAATTACTTTTGCATTGAAGCACGTTGCCAGCTTCGACGATTCAGAGTTAACTCTCTTCATGTTGTGCTCTTCCTCCCCAGCCACCCATTGCCAATCTTAGCAAACTCATTGCCATGGACGAGCCATTTAAGCCGAAGAACTGTCCATCGCCTCCTTGTATTAGAGTTTGGTTTGTAAAACTCTTACAACCAGACTGATCATAGGTGTCCTTTTGATCGGTTAGGCTGATTAGGAATAGATGGCACTGGCTTAGATTGGTTTTGTTCCATTTACTAGGGTCATCATATTTTATCGAAAAGGACGCCTATGAAATCCTATGAACATGGTACAATAGGTTTTCCGGCGCTCAAATGTTTGTCCTTCCTCGTCGGGCTCTGGGAGTCATCTTAGTGAGTATACGGGCCTAAACAATTAAAATGGGGTTCTGAGATACCTTTCGACCAGGTTGTCTCATGATACAAATATGTGTGTACTTATTGTCCCCTTTGTGTTGCTGGCGTGTGCTATGGGTGCCAACCTTTCAGCCATTTTTTTCATCCCAGGTTCCAACGCATCCAGCTATCGACGGAGCCAAGGAACATGCCTTTGCCAACCTTCACATCCCTTTTGGCTTGCCGGCCAACAAAAGAGCCCGCTGGGTGTGCGTTTCCATGTACGTTCCCTTTCGGCGTCTCTTCTTTTTACTGGGGCCTTTGCCTAGATAGGCTCCAGAGTTCGACGGTAGGGTCTGCCAGTTGTGGCCGCGAGCGGTGCAATTCGCCGATTTCGGGGGGAAACCGAGCGAAAGTTGCGAAGGCCCTTTACTTGGATCCAATTTTCTCAGTTCAGCTTTTGGAGTCGCAGGCAAATCGCACCTGGAGTCTCCTGCTGACCCTTCAAAAATGGTTGGTCCTCACCCAAAGTCAAGGGTCATGGAGATCGACTCCAGAAGCGTGGGCCATGAGCCGCACGGTTTGGCTGCGTACCCGTCTGACGTGGAACCCACCAGAGGGACTTGGGGATACCGCAGGAGTCGCAGGCTGCCAACGCCTTCCCCGAGACCGCCTTCCAGGCTGGGCGAAGTTTGGGCGAAGTTTTGGGCCGACATTTTGTGTGGGACTCTGTGCATCTTAGCATCACCGGGGGAAGAGTGGGACCCGCGGAGAACTCCGTTTCTGGTTTATTTTGCAATTTTGCGGGGAAGACTAGATAAATGCACTTGGGAGACCCCCTCACACCCTTCCCCCTTTGGTACGGGAAATATCTTTGCGCAAAGTCAGTCGGATGGTCTTTTTTTGGAAAGGAGGAAGCAAATCCCTTACAAATCCAAAGCGCGCACCAGCAGCTGGTTTCACCCATTGGGCTTCATCCATCCATATCCATCCCAACTTCCGGATTGTGTCCAACCACCCTGTTCTGACGCAGGTGCCCTTGCAAGAAAGTCGCGCCTCCTCAGGTACATAGCTAGGCCCCCCAGCAGTGCCTTTTCTCACCCTTTTCTGGTTGGGAGGGTTCCCCTACGAACATCCAAAAGGAAAAAAGTGGGTACCCAGAAAATCGAACCTCTCAAATCTGGAGGACCTAGGCAAAGAGATCCGACCCTTCCCCCCCCCTTCCCATTTTTCGGAGCCAGGCGGCTCCGAAGCCACTGCGTGGCCAACACATGGAGTGCCACGACTCTCCACATGGGTGGCAGGAGAGGGGGCAAGACGGCGAGGCCATGTGGCTGTTGTCAAAACCGTTTTGGGATCCCATTTTGGGGGTTTCGGTGAATTCACCACCCATTCTGGAACCTGTTTTTGGGGGTTGGATTGAATCGGATGTTCACTGGGGGTACGGCTTGGCTTTTGACCCATGGCCATGTAGCAACCCAAGACCGCCATCAACGGGCCACAAGGAAAGCGACTTTTGGGACAAGTGTTTCTACAAGAAAGCCCTACTCAGTGGGCACATTTAGGGGCTATATTATGTATGAACATGCGCATTTGCCTTGTTCTTCTGTGCGGGATCTTCGAAACATGGGAGGTTCCTGCCCCGAGCCTAAACCAGAACCTTGCGCGTCCGCATGCGTTCGGATCCCACGCAACTGTCGGAGCCCTCAACGGTCGGAGAGCATGAATCAAAAGGAACGGCGACGGGACAGAGTCTAGGTGCCCCAGTACTGCCCTCTCTCACCCTTCTTTGGGGAGGGTTCCCCTACTAAAATAGACAAAAACGAAGAAACAAAAAGTTGGTACCCAGAAAATCTAACCTCTCAAATCTGGAGGACCTAGTGAACCACAGAACGGCGACAGCGGGACATCGTGTTAAACACATAGCAGGCACCATGACGCAGGATGCCAATGGCAACAGCTGCTACCAGTACGAGAAAGGCAGGAACGAGTCATAGGTCGCTTATAGGGCTACCAGTGTTCGTAGCAAAGCAATAGAGCACGAAGGTACTGCTTTGAATGTTTGACACCAATAATTGCAGCGTTCAGAGTGCCCTTCTTACGTTTACTCTTGTGATCAAAGGCTGCGTGCTTCCTCAAGCTACCGTGAATGCCCTACTTCTTGCAAGTCAAGCAGCCGTACTCCACCACAAAACCATGGGTGAATTACGGTAAATTAGCGGGTTCCGGTCTCCCGGACTAGCAAATCACGGTTCTTGGCATGTGTTTGTTTTTTCAAACGTTTAGCTCTGTTCACTTTTGACGGGGTGGGCTGCAAACAGCACAGTTTTGTTGCTACCATACCAAGAGTTGTAGAGAGCAATATGTGCGGCATTCACGGCATGGCTTGTGTTTGCATTCCCTGCAGCGCGGAGTTAGTGCTCTTGGTCTGGTTGCGAGTCAATCTGTGTGATTCGAGCGGTCTATGACTCAGTGAACCAGACGCCAAGATAAGATTGTGACTCTTGTTCCTTTGAGAATCATCATGCCCTTTGCTTGCTTTGGAACGGATTACTTTTAGATGAATTTCGTCAAACATCAACCCATGCACCCCATTTGTGTGTGTGTGTGGGTGTGCGTTACTGCGCAGTCTACGCCTTTCTTGGGTAGACGGATATTTCTTAGCAGTTTGCTCACCCAAACTGCGTCGGAGAGCTCTGTTTTTGTCTGCGGGTTTTTTCCAGATTGTTGGGGGTTTTCCAGAAAGAAGGATCCCTGGAACACTTCCTCAGGCCAAGGAGAAAAACTGGAACACGCCCCGAAATCCCAGGCAAGGGAATGTGCGTATCAAAACTAAGGGAGTCCCCCAAATGGCCAATTTCATGCTGATTTCCCTGTGTCATGCCAAAGGGGGTCTCTAAATTTGACAGCCCCCCCCCCCCACAGTTGCCCCTGCCACCTTTGGGAACAAGTGCCAAAGGCTTTAAAAGCGCATTTGGAGTCGGCATTTGGTTCGACTTCTCAGCCTTTAAACTGGCCTTAAAGGTCTAGCGGTAGCTTCCCCTTCTTTTCAGTCTAGAAAACCACCAACACCCTTGAGAAAGGGCTGGTGTTTGAAAAGAACGATGGCTGAAAAGGATGGGGAATCAGCCCCTACTGGTAGAAAAGGTGATGTATCAAACCACCAAATGAGGAACTATGGGGAACCCGGCAGACCAAAACAGAGCTCTCCGGCGTAGTTTGGGTGGGGCAAACTGCTAAGAGATAACTGTTTACCCAAGATAGACTGCGCAGAAACACACACACACACACACGCACACAAATGGGGTGCATGGGTTGATGTTTGACGAAACTCATCTGAGACACCCGCTCCAAAGCCTTTGTCAGGAAGATTCAGCATACGCAGGAGAAGACAACCCATACGGTGGATGTTGTAAACATTGCTCTCTGCAACTCTCGGAAGAAAGAGGATTCAGATGTGAACTTGGGGGGATTGGTTGGCTCCTTTTGTTTGAAAACCCCGAAAAAGGAACCAACAGAAGGACATCATGTATATTGCCAGGCTCAATCAATTTAGGTAAAGAAGCCAACAGATTGGCATTCCCGTGCAGGCGATTGGTGCACTAGCAGCGGGCAGGGCGCTGGATGGAAAGACTCCTGGGGCTCCTTTCTGGCGACGCGGCAAACGGCGAATCTGATGAGCCAGACTCCTGCGGTCCCCCAGTGCCCTTTGACCCATGAGCTTCCTCCATCCCTGCCGAATTTGTCCAAGCACCCTGTTCTAACGGTGCTCTCAACTCCTCAGGTGCGCAACTAGGTGTTTTCAGCTAGGTGTTTTTGCTCACCAACTTTTTGGTTGGGAGGGTTCTCCTACTAAAATAGACAAAGAAGAAAAAGTTGGCACCCAAAATTCTAATCTCTCAAATCTGGACCTAGATAAGGAGAGCCACAATTAGCAGAGTGGACAGAGTCCCAGGGATGCAACCCCAGGACCCCAAGCTACCAACTGGTGGATGTTGATCAGCGACCATTTTGGTGTGCCGTCAAAGACCATTTTGTGGGCCACAAACGCTCAATGGCTGCCTTGGCTCTGAATCAATTGAGTGTCCTTGCCATGGCAGCTTTTACTTTAGACCCGTTTTGCAGGTTTGAATGCAGGAATCGGAAA